CCTTTTTGCCCAATTCTTGTCATATATCCTTATTGTCAAATTTAATTTAAATAGGCCAATTTTTAATTTCTTAGGTATTGACTATCTCTACATAATGAAATAGGACTCAAAGTAAAAGTAACAGTTAAATTAAAACTTGAATTAATTAAAACTGATGAAAGGGATGATCCAGATGAAGATAACGAAGATGATTACAACTTATTGGAAGACTAAACAGCTCTCCCTTTATCTTAATATCGATCTGGTTGTTACGCTTCAAATGTTAAAAATTATTTTCCATCTAGTTTGATTAACCACGAGTCATTATTTCTGTCTACTTTCGACAATTATTGATAATTCGACTTGTTTCACAAGTTTTAACAATGCGAAAATTTCTAAACTTGCTTATCTCTAATAAGGAAATTTACATCTGAGACAAAATTTTTGAATCAAAAATTGAAAGGTTGGACACCGGTAAAATGGCGACCGGGAAAATGTGGTGGGTTTTGAGCAATTTCGCCATATTTTTCCCGAACCATATTTAAACCGGTCGTTAATAAACCCGTCGTAATAATCCCGAGTAAGGTATTATAATGAAGATATCAGTTTATATTTCGACTTTATAAAGTACCCTGACAAATTATAATCAAAAAGAGATGATATTTAACCAAAACCCATAATCATGGGTAGAGTGGACCGCTGCCAGTGTCTCTCTTTCCCAAACAAAAGGAAATGATATTAATTTGATTGACCGTTCTCAAATGCAAAATGATACCGAGAATGAAATCGGTCGCTCGCTTTTCCCATTCATTTACGATTGTAATAGATTAAGAAGAACTACCCAAAGGCAGCTGTACTCGGCAATAAAGATTCAATAAACTTCAGCTAATGCAATAAGTGATAACTACCACCCTTACCCCGAAATACTAGGTATCGACCCGAACGCAACCCAAAGAGATTTTTACAGCATCTGATTGACATGTAACCAATCGAAAATTATTACAATTCGTAAGCCGTGAATGAATGGGAAAAGCGAGCGACCGATTTCATTCTCGGTATCATTTTGCATTTGAGAACGGTCAATCAAATTAATATCATTTCCTTTTGTTTGGGAAAGAGAGACACTGGCAGCGGTCCACTCTACCCATGATTATGGGTTTTGGTTAAATAAAGTATATGAAGTGGGTACTTCTCAGAAAGGAAAAATTTAGGCAAACACGATGTGACTATTTTTGGGTTGATTTAATACAACTGCAAAAAATTATTCAAACTTCAAGCAAAAAAGTCAAAATGTTTACCACTTTTTTGGATTTTTACCTGCGCTAAAATAGAGGGATTTGTTTTATTTTATACTATCTTGTGCGGCTGTCTTTTAGCTATCTTTGTGCAAATTTTGCCGACATGCCAACAAAATTAACTTGCTCAAAATATCAAAAAACATGGTTTTTTGGCCTTTTTTTGGCCCAAAAATCGGTTTTTTGCGATTTTGACCGCGCTAACTCAGTCCAATCATCTTGAAACTACTTTTAATCGATTCTACGGTCTAAAATACGTCTAGTAAGGTGTATCTGGGGTCCCTAGCGTATCATGCAGACAATGCCCGTAAGAGCCTCTACTATTATAACCTTCACAATTCAAGCTCATTACAATCCTGTAAGAATTATTTCAAAATATTTAATATTTTAGGAGTTATAGGCATTTTAAGCAATAAATTAACTATTTTTCGTCCTTTGTACACTTTTGCAATGCACAGGAGGCTTACATACATTTCGACGTTATCGTGCTACACTGTACACGGTGAATTTTCATTATTCACAGTTAAAGGCAACTTTTGGTACCAAATTTATCAAAATCAGAGACAAAAATTCTTTACCTGGGGACCTCAGGCTATTATGTTCATAAGCTTACTCATAGACTTACAAGGAAGCTGTCCGAAAAATTTAAAGCATACCCAACCACCAGCGTATTTTCCCCCATTTTGATCACTATATCAACTCTGATATCCACCAAATTTTTCGGACAGTTGTGAAAGCCCTATTGGAAGGTCTTCGCAAATTTTCAGAATGATCTCATTCAAGGAACTGCGAAGATGTGGCAGAATAATACGACAAAAATCAACGAATTTCGTCAAATTACGCGACTTTTACACCTACTTTTGCTCCAAACGCCGCGCACCATCAAATACTACTATTAGTATTACTATTAGGCCAGGGGGTGATTCGGAATCAGCGTCTGAAAATATATTATATCTATTCAAGTTTGAATTTGGTTTCAACTGTCGAACTTACTGGGCCGCGCTCAGCCTGTCATTCCGCCGAATCTCTATAATGAACATGATAGCCTGAGTGCTGAGGTCCCCAGGTAACTGTCGAACGCGATCGACGTGACGGGGGCCTTTTTAGAACAATTTCGAAAATCGAGTGTGGAGACTGGAGTGTAAAATGATTTTACCTGGTAATACTAATGAACCCCAGGCTATTATCAATTATGTTCATAAACATAAACGAATAGAGATTTGACGGAATGACAGCTGCTGAGCGCCGCCCAGTAAAAAATGATTTAGCACATAGCAGATTAGCACGCCTGTTTATTTTTATCGTGTACCTCCTACTCCTAGTTAGGGTTGTGGTTAGGGTTATGGATAGCTTCGGGGTTATGATTAGGCCTAGGGTTGGGCCTAGGGTTTATGTAAAACCGTAATGTTCGGCTGCAAAACCATAAAAACCAAAGTCACGTGATAATTTTTGGGCGAGCGATTTAATAAAAGTTCATGTCGTTAGTCGGCGTCGAGCCTCAAATTTAATTAAAATTCAATCCCATCACGTTGTAAAGTGAAGGTCCTCCATTGGTTTAACAGTTTCTGGCACTACCTTATCCCCAGAATCAGGCATCACGTATCATGGCACTGAGACTCTAAAGTGACACGTCGTCGTCCAATCCCTAGACCTACAGTTATTGGTCAGACTGACCGCTGGCGCTAGTGGCCGCTACTGATTAAAGGAAATTAGCACAGCTGATAGAATGATTTAACTCATTGTTGTAACGTAACGTCCTTGTTAAGGCCAAGGGGACTGGATGAACTGACTGTGATACCGGACGGAATGATAGTGGAAGTTGCATATACTGCTGATTAAACTGGTAGGTTATCCTCCTTAGTCTTACTGATGAACCTTAATACTTTAAGTTTGAAACAAAGGTAGAGCATGGCGAACCTTTTTTTGAATGAAGGCCATTGAGATGTTGTAAATTTGCCTAACAGTATTCGGTATTCAATGGTTATTAATATTAAGAGTGTGCACTGTGCAGGTTGAATAAAGAAATTTAGTGCAAAATTACGAAGCCTAGAAAAAGGAGGGTCACTTAAATCAGCAACGCACCAAATATTTAATTATGGTCAGAATCCATCTTCGAGTTTGTTTAGGTATTCGTGACTTATCATAACTTGGGATAGATGAGTGTCATGTACGAGTAATGCAACATCTCGGACTAGATGAGGCCAGTGATTGGACAAAGACAAATAACCATCAAGCATGCATAAACATAAATTATCAAACCCTTCAATTTTACTTCAACACACCAGCTGAACTTATAATATAAGTCTGATACAATTTAAATTGTGGAATCCTCATTAGCCCGCAGATTTTACTTTTTCAGATAGAGGCGATCAAATGTATGTAATTTGCATGAACATGAGATATACAATTTATTATGCTGTAAAGGCATATTGGCCCAAACTACTGTATTAATTATATTAATTATAACAGTTTAGCGCAGATTTTAAATTTAATATGCAAACTTCTGAAAACGTTTCCTTCTGTTTACAAATGATTGTGTTTCATTAAGGGACATGAAATACCTACCTGGAAATTTCTTAAATTTGACAGGACAGATAGATTTGCAACATACTTGAGACTGAATTGTGGCCGGAAAATCAGGGCAAATTGGTATATCGTTTACAACAGTACTGACTCGTGGAATCAAAATCAAACTGTAGCTGTTTGGGAACTACCATCTAAATAATAATATTTTTCCAAGTAATAAGTATAATCCGTTGATGTAATCCAAAAAAAGAGCTTCAGAACTCCCTTTTCCTAGTAATTATGAGGGAACTTGATTTTGCTATTATTGTCTCAAATACGTCAGCTACTCAAAATGAGTATTGCTTTCCGATACCTACGTGCAAGTACAAGACCCAACTGTTATATCAAATCCAGACAGCCAACAATATGCCGCACTTTTTCAACCTTGTGTGGTATTGCTACTACCACTTCACACTGTGGGAACATGACCTTCGTTTTTAGGATAGAAACTAGCAACCATAGTAGAAGAAGAAGAGAACATGCCTTGATGTCTGAGGAGACAATGAAAATACTGATGAAACCAAATACTTACTGGTGAAGAGTATTTAATCGTAGGTACGAGTATTATACCAAGGATCGTAATTTATATCACCCCATCATTCGGGCATAAATGCTCATAATGATAAATGCTCATAAATGCTCATAAGTTCTGTGATCAACGACCAACGTAGGTCATTTAGTGCTCCGAATTTGGCATAATCTGTCGCTTAACGTCCGTATTGCAGTAGCAGTCTACGTTTCGTAACGAATCAGTTGGTACCAGGTATAAATGTTTTTAAAACTGGATCCTTTTCATCCAAATATTTTCAGTTATTTGCGATTTCATCGAAAGTGGTATTTTTCCCAGAAAAGCATATATTTTTGGTGAAAAACATTTAAATTCTCATTAATACTTGTTTGTTTAAGATCAGCTAATAATTTGTTAAAAGCCACACAAATAATAATTTAAGTGACTGCCAAAAGTGGTCGCCTCACCTGCAGTCTTACCAACTTGTCCAACATCGCTTTTTACAAATTCTCACAGAGACGTTATATGCTTATATTTTTCACAGCCTTTCCTATTTTTCGTATTTTATTCAGAAAATGAGGATTTATTTTTGCCTCTCGTTAATATTTTCGGTAGATTACTTGATGTTCCATAGCTAAAGTATGACAAAATCATAACAATAGAATATAATTACGGAAGTAATTGTACAGCACAAGTATTCAATCCACAAAATGGCCCCGTTACAGATATTTCTGATAATGCACTATACAATATAATGCTTAAGGATGGGAATTGTCCGTTTATCCATCAAAACAAATAGCATTTTTAGCTGAAGATAGCTGCCTCGATAAATTAACTGTCACTATATATCTAACGCCCTTCAAGCTGTCTCCAGTTTCATTTTGTCCACTCCATTTTCGACTGGCTGATATTTCTCGTTCCCGGCCAGCACCTCCACATCGTAGGGAGTTTCAGGAATGTTCTTGCCGGTAGTGTCGTTGAGGAATGACACAGCCACCATGTACACAATGGTCATTCCAGCAAACAGTGCCAAAGGTACTCTTCTATCTGTGATGTCGTATAGGAGGGTGGTGTATATGCCACTGAAGCTCCCTATTCTTGCGCAGCTAGAGCTCAGAGACATGACCGTACCTCGGTGAGTGGTAGGAGCAAGCTCGCTTGTGTAGAGGTAGTTGATGGCATAGGCAGAGGAGGTGACTATGCTGCCTACCAGGCACGCTGCAAACTCCAGCGTCCATTCTTCTGTGATCTGCACGTCTGTCATGGCCAAGAAGAAGAATATGATGCCAAACATCAGAAAGAATTGGACAGCTCTTTTTCGTCCCAGGAAGTGGCAAGCGGGGATGGTTATGGCGAAACTTAAAACTTTTCCTAGGGCAGCAAAGAGGTAGCTAGTATACAGGTCTTTAGATATCTTTCCCCAGCCGAAGTCGAACCCGTAGAAAAGGAACGCAACGGCAAACCAGCATATAAAACAAAGGAGAGTTTGTTTTCGCAGGCTAGGATACTCCTTAAAGTCTCTGAACTGTTCGAAAAAGTTTTGCACTCTCGTTGTGTAGATTAGTTCCACTCGGTCCATATCTAGAGCTTTCTCGTTGTCACACACTTGTGAAAAGGACTTCAGAATTCTTTTAGCCTCTTCCTCTCGCCCTCTGACAAGAGCATATCTGGGAGATATGGGAAAAATAAAAAGTATGGGTATGAGGAGGACGAAGTTAAGGGCTCCAGTCACCAAAAATATGTATCTCCAGTACGGAATGAGATAGCCAATAAGCACTATAATTACATACCCGACCGACCACATGATCAGTATGAAAGCGCTAAGAGAACCTCTGAGATAGGTCGGGGAAAATTCTACTGCCCAGCAATATATTCCTGTCAGATTCATGAACATACCGATCCCTTGGAGAACTCTAACAGCCAGCATGACCTCATAGGACGGACACCATGTGGCGCAAATAGTCGCTATACCTGCTATAAAGTTTCCAATTACGGCCCCCTTCTTTCTTCCAAATCTGTCAAAGACCGCTGTGGAGGAAACTAGCCCAATGAAAGCTCCAATAAAGAAGAAGCTGGACACCACTGAGAGCTTGCTCTCTGACTCACAGTAGATCCCCCAGTCCATAGAAAAGCTCGTTCTTTCACTTGTCCAGTTGAAGTCTGTGCCTGCCACCAACTGGTTTGTGCACATGGGTTTTGCGGTGTAGAAAGCCTGAGAGAAGTTACTTTCAGCGAAGAGATTTAAGCATTTCTCCGAGACACAAGTCCACTCCGAGTAAGGAATGAAGCCTGTGAAGATGGTCATGTAAACTTGAGCTGCGGTCTGGGTGTTAGTTCCAGTTGCTGCGATGAAGACGAGAAGTAGCTTGATGTTTATACCTTTGTATATCTTATCAACTACCTGATCTATCGTTAGGGATTCCTTCTTCGTCTCCTCTGTCTTTTCATCGCCAGCATCAAGCTTTTCCCAGGTAGCCAGGCCCATTCCTAGTGTTAAATATGTTTTAATATTTTACGATATCCTTGTTCAGGAGGGATTGTATTTGTAATACTAATCAACAATGCTGTTTACTTGAAATATTTATTGAATCGCATTCAGCTAAAAAGAATTGAAAGTAATTACAAGCGTGCTTGTCAATAAAGGTGAGGCGCAGGAAGCGCTTCTCTAAATAATGAGGTTGGGCTCCACTGGGTTCCAGTGATACCATCCATAAGTGGTACAGATTACAGAATCACATATTTTGCTTCATATTTTTTGCATTCTTACGTGTAATTTGCAATAAAAATTACAATAGAGTCGATAATTAAAAGGCTATTTTTCTCTACATTAGGTTATGTTGAATCAGGAGAGGAGATAGATCAATATCAGTCTTGATCCTCAGGAACGACAAAACAATTTCAACGCATTACCAAATGATAATGCGTTTAAGTATATCTCCATAACTGGTAATTGTTAAAATGGCTGAAAACGTTGCCACCAGATTGAGCCCGGATCTCATTGTTGTCTTCTACCATTCATCTTCAGGATCCCAGTTTCAAATTAAAAGTCGCATGTTTATGATTACGTTCAGTAATTGGCCGGAATTTTTTACGAACCCGCCTACTTTATTAATTATAATTAGAGCGACCGATTTGATCGTTTGTGAGGGATATAAATAAATCAAAAACTCGTCTATTCTTAAGGTTGTAACTGACATTACTATCGCATACAAATTACGTCATAATAATGGGTGGTGTTTTGGCAGTCTCCACAAGTTATAATTGATAGGTTGCCGGTTCGAACCCCGACATGTACCGTAAATTCTTAGGGAAGCTTATGAATCATGCCATGCTCCACTCAACAAAATGATATGAAAGCCGTGATCTGTAGTTGAATCCGACCTGAATAAGAAGTCACAAGAGTAGCACTAGCTAAAATGGTTACTGACACTGTCGACTACTGGCACACAACCCTAACAGTCATTGGACAATTCCTTGGCTTCCTGTAAATAACAAAGGGGGCAAAATTATCGCAATAATTTGTATCTTTTATATTATAATCGTTACAACTTATGTTATGGTTTTATAAGAACGTATGCTGTTACGAGTAGTAACAGTTTTGGTTACCGATCAGAGAGAAATAGTAGCTGCTTAATCAGAAATAACGAGATGAGAAATAAGTAATTTTGGTACTAGACGGACAGCAGTAAATTTAAATTTGTTGCGTACGGGATTAATACAGACTGTCACGCCTTTTTTAGTACGTGTTCGATCGGCACGCGAATCAATTAAAATTCTTATGGCAACCAATAACGGCTCTTACATGCGGGACCATTTTTGAAATGAGAAGGTCTAGTTGTACGGTGAACACTGCATGCAGTAGGCACTGTTCAATGCTTTGTCGGTTATCTATAATTATCACGGATTGATGTGTGGAGAAATAATTAACCGTTAACCTTATAAACCTAGAAGGGCCTAGAGAAGGTTCGACAAAAATCTGCTGAGTCATTAAATTTTACTGAAATTTAATTTATTCCTGCAAAAATGTTCATTCTTTTCATTTTTGGCTAATCATCAAAGTGTGTTTTAAGTTGCCGTCGCCAAATATAACGAAATTAGAGTAATGATAAAATCATACCGAGTTTAGTAAATGAACGAATGAACAATAGCCGTGGTAACAAAATCAAATGATTATACTGGATTAGATTGAATTTTAACATTTTATCTTAACTTAACTAGGAATGAATTTAGGATATCAAGCTTTAAACTTTCTTGTAAAACTTTTTTCCACCAATTTGCCATGATTCAAAGGAATAAGTTCAAAGTTACTACCACCAATTGCACATAGTTGCATAAAATGGCCCTATGACTTTATAAAAACGCACTATCGCCAAATGCCAATGGCAAGTCTATTCTTCCAGTCGTAAGTCGAACAATGGCACCAACACCTAATTTGCGTGTCATAACTGATTTATGGCATAATTAAGAAGACAGCTATGCCAACTATTGGTACATCAGGATTCTACTTTACTGCCATTTGTCTTCCAAAGTGATATAAGTAGTGCCGATGAATTAAGGATTGCCACCGACTTTTGTTTTTACTTCTAATCGACTAAAACTGGATGCGGATCACAAGTGTTAAATTAACACCACTTTGGTACTCCTAAGAGACTAGAGATACTCGTCATAACGTCCGTCGTTCCTCAGTGCATTGTTGATCAATAAACGCTACTAAAATGGTATTAGTATTGTATGTTAAGCAATTAAAATTTGGAGCCAGGAAAAGATTGGATTACATTTATATATTAAAGGATCGAGATCGTCCACAAATACTCAACCTAAGTGGGAGAGGGATGACATGCTCAACCTAAGAGGGAGAGGGAGAGGGATTACATACTCAACCTAAGTCTAAGAGGGAGAGGGATTACATACTCAACCTAAGAGGGAGAGGGATTACATACTCAACCTAAGTGGGAGAGGGATTACATACTCAACCTAAGTGGGAGAAGGATGACATACTCAACCTAAGTTTAAGAGGGAGAGGGATTACATACTCAACCTAAGTCTAAGAGGGAGAGGGATTACATACTCAACCTAAGTGGGAGAGGGGTGACATACTCAACCTTAGTGGGAGATGGATTACATACTCAACCTAAGAGGGAGAGGGATTACATACTCAACCTAAGAGGGAGAGGGATTACATACTCAACCTAAGTGCGAGAGTGATGGGTTGGTAACAGAGGGAAGGTTAAGATTTATAACTTAATATACAATTTTGAAAACGATTGTTAGGATTCGGTATAGAAATTGAACGGCAAATTTGAGTTTCTGACTTAAGGAAATCATAATGGTACATTTGATATTGTTTCGATTATACATGAAATAATAATAATCTCTAATAAATAGGGGGTTGAAGAATTATTATTAGGGTTTTGGCATATACTGACATTATCAATGGAGACGTTCAACTGTTGCTGGAAGGAGGGGAGGGGTGTTAAATTAACAAAAAAATGTCTGACGTAATACTAATATGTGAAGGATCCCTAACTCTATAATCTGGGTAACTCCCTGTTCAGATGAGGCTCAGATGATGCCGTGATTAGCGGGGCCATCAGTTTTAAATCGAGCTGCAAAATTTAATCAACTTTACAACTTACACCATTGGTAGTGAAGGTACACGTCGTCCGTACTAATGGCACTTATAATTAGAATTTTATCATTTGGCACTGATGGTAGCCAGATTGCAATAATACCATTGGTACCGATGACCACACATTGGCGCCGTATCATGTGGAATCTTTCCCGGCTGGTACCATTGGACCGTTTCGACGCAATGATAAGAGCCACTCCTGGCTTGTCATCGTTTAAAAAATACTTCTGAATAGATGGCACCAATGGATTCACGAGACTTCACCAATAAAAATAATTGATGTACAAGATTTAATTTTGGAAAGTGAGCTTTTATATGGTTTTTGAACCTATAAAATGATTTTCGAAACGTTATATAATAGTTTAATTGTAATCAAGACTCAGTCAATAGTATCCAAGATACTATTGACTGACTATATTTAGATCAAAGAATCTAAGTTACAGTTTATTAATTTTTATTAAGCACTTAGTAGACAGTCATGAACGTAGCTGAATTATTAAAGACTAACCATTTACCAGGGGTGACCAGGATTGTAGGTGTTTTATTGCACTGATAGGTTCTCCCGTGTTGTTCTCTGCTGTGTTCTTCCAAAAATGATATTCACAGATTCGTGCTGACTGCTGGTCGAAGCTACTTTTTGGAGTTTTAAGTCAAGATAATCAAATTTAATCTATAGGTGCTTTGTTGGATATGAGTGTATACATGATGAACAAATTACTTTTCGCTTACATAATTATAACTAACATAGTTTTGAGCTTGAACCACGTGACAAATAAGGTAGTCAGTCCAGGAGATTAATATCGATAAGTTTCCGTATAATTATCATCACGATTAGTATGAAGATTAAAAACTGATAAAAACGAGTGAATTAACTTGCTGATAGAAGTTTAAACTGATTATAATATGGTCTTTAGTATAATGATTTAAAACGTCAATTTGATGACTTGAATATTACTAGCACAGTATTCGCGACTGGTGTGACGTGGGAATCACCCTAAACAACCACACGCACTCTCGTATTCTTATAATCAAAGATGGAACAGTCCTTGACTTTCAACAAGTTGTTACTTCATATGTTTGTTTACTGTTTAGGGATGATCAGTAAGGACGCTCGACCGCCAATTGGTCTACCAAAATTTCCGCACTTTAACCCTTACAACCGTCGAAGTGTTGCCACCGAGAAATCTTGCGAAATTCTGTGGAATAAAGCTCCGAAAATTCCTGCTTTCCAGCACTTATTCAAAGTTATAATCTAAGGTTTAATTGTTTCCTCAGGATGAGGTGGCCTGCAGCGTTTAGGGAGTATTGTGCAAATTAGGACGGCTAGATTAGGTCTATTGTTTGTGATGGTTAATATATTCACGTGAATATATTTAGAGTACGGCTACCTGGACAGCTTTTAATTAATCAGGTCGCGTGCCTGATGATAAGATGTGTTAATAAAAGTAACTTGTAGCCCCTGCGTACACCTCTGCAAATCAAGTTCATTACTACCAAACGCTTCAGTCCTTCAACCGATGAATATTATACGGTATTTTAGGATGAGGCCATGTTCCGTAATGTTCTTCTAACGAATGCAATGATCTAATACCTCAAAATTTTAAATCAAAGTAAAATATATCAAAGTAAAATACATCAAAGACCCAAAATATTGCTGGTACTTATTTTTCATTTCGTGTTAAATTAAGGCAAGTAAGAAACAGATCACCTAAAAATCATAAATAAAAACACTAATGCGAGATTTAATTAATGTCTAGTAGGATAGCCCAGGCCAATGGAACTTCATAAAATTCGTATTATCTCATTTGATTACTTCGTATTGTCCGATTACGCATGAATTTCACGATACTAGGTCTTTTGGCCTAACTAGGGACTGCTGGCCTAACGCCTAAAACTATGAATTAGGCCATTAAACCAGTTAGGTCAAGCAACTGTTTTGAGGTCTGATGGCCTAATTTTACTTTAGTCAGCTGTTTTCAGAGTCATCATCAATATCAATCATGGCAACTGATCTTTTATTCATTCCTGGACGCTGCGCTGGATCCGAAAACCCTATCATCAACAGCTTCCGACTCATCCTCAACAGAAAAAAGAACGAATCCGTCTACTGGAGGTGTGCCCTTTTCAGGACTGGATGCGGTGCCAGGATCACTACTGTCGACAAACAGCTTGTCTCTCGTATCCCCGTCCACTCACACGGGGTGCAACATGCAGTCCACATTGCCAAGCAGACCATGAAGAGAAAAGCAGCAGAGAAAAGTCACATCACGTACGGGTCACATCACTCAGTTCAGTTAGGCCAAGAGACCTTAAGTGGACTGATGGCCTAAAATCGGTTCTAAATTAGGATTAGGCCATTCGTCCGTTTTTTACTTTTTTTTTCAGTATACTTAGGTACTAGGTTAGTCCATTTAGGCCAAGCGTACAGTTAGGCCCCCAGACCGGGTTCCGAATTTCACAGAATTATTTATTTAGATCGAGGAGAAGGAAAAAGGAGAAAACAAAGTAATCCCAGTTTTTGACAGATTTGGTCAAATACTGGAAAAATCGTTGAATTCTTTTATAAAAATTTTCGTCTTTTTTAATTTTTGGATTATTGTATGTTTCTCAAACCACATTATTCACCTTAAATTGAGAATTAAGACATTCGTATCCATAGTTACCGAGACATAAAGAGGTATATATTTAAACCACTTTATTTATTTTCTCTGTCGACAATTCGTATACAGTAAAACCCCTATTTACCGCGACGGGCGACCGTTTCCATTCCCCAAATAGGGCTAGTAACATGCATAATGTAAACGAACAAAACCCTGTTTTACCGCGGACCCCTATTTACCGCAAATGTAGCCCTTCTCCAAACTCTACAGTAAATCGGGGTTTTACTGTATTTACAACATTTAAAGTTTGCAACGTTTTGTGTATAAAACAATTATGATCAATCATCATTAAAATCAGGTATGGGCACATTTGAGAAACTAAATGGACAAGATGAGCAGCAGACTCTAGGAATGGGATTGACGACCTGGAACAAACCTGATGCTGGTGATGAAAAAACAAGCGAGAAAGAACCACAAAGCGAAACAGAAAAAAAGGAGTATCTAACGATCGACCAGGTTGTAGACAAAATGTACAACGGTCTCAACCTAAAGCTGGTCCTTCTTTTTATCGTCGCCGCATCCCCCACATCCCAGACTGCAGCTCAAGTTTACATGACCATCTTCACAGGCTTCATTCCTTACTCGGAGTGGACTTGTGTCTCGGAGAAATGCTTAAATCTCCTCGCTGAAAGTAACTACTCCCAAGCTTTCTACTCTGCAAAACCCATGTGCACAAACCAGTTGGTGGCTGGGACAGACTTCAACTGGACAAGTGAAAGAACGAGCTTTTCTATGGACTGGGGGATCTACTGTGAGTCAGAGAGCAAGCTCTCAGTGGTGTCCAGCTTCTTCTTTATTGGAGCTTTCATTGGGCTAGTTTCCTCCACAGCGGTCTTTGACAGATTTGGAAGAAAGAATGGTGCAATAGCAGGCAATATGATCGCAGCAGCAGCCACTATCGCAGCCCCTTGGTTTCCTCACTACGAAGTGATGTTAGCTGTTAGGATTCTCCAGGGACTCGGCATGTTCATCAACCTGACCGGAGTGTACTGTTGGGTAGTTGAATTCTCCCCAAGTCATCTTCGAAGCACTGTCAGTCCTCTCATCTTGGTGACATGGTGTTTTGGATATCTGGTTATAATAGTGATAGGGTACCTCATCCCGTACTGGAAGTACATATTTGTGACAACTGGTGCTCTCAACGTTCTTCTCATCATACCTCTTCTGGTATTACCCATCTCCCCCAGATTTGCTCTGGTCAGAGGACGAGAAGAGGAAGCCAAAAAGATTCTAGAGGCTTTCTCTCGTTTGTGTAACAACGAAATTTGCATGGATAAGATTCATCTAGACTACACGACCAGGGTGCAGAACTACTTCGAGCAGATAAAAGATTTCAAAAAGTATCCAACTTTTCGAAAGCAAACCCTCTTGTGTGTGCTGTCTTGGTTCATCGTCGCAACACTTTTCTACGGCTTTGACTTCGGCTGGGGAAAGGTGTCCACAAACCTTTACTCGAGTTACCTCTTTGCAGCTCTAGGGAAAGTCCTCGCCATCACTGTAACCATTCCCGCTTGCAACTGGATGGGAAGAAAACATTCCATCATCCTGTTCCTCGTCTGTGCCATTCTCTTATTCTTCCTTGCCATGCCAGATGTGCTGATAGTTAAAGGATGGACCCTGGAGTTCGGAGCCTGCTTATTAGGAAGCATGGCAATATCCGCAGCTTACGCAATCAACTACCTCTACACAAGCGAGCTAGCTCCCACATCCCACCGGGGAATGATAATGTCCCTGTGCTCCAGCGCAGCTAGAGTCGGCAGCTTCCTGGGTATCTACACTAGTCTCCTCTACGATATAACTGACAGGAGGGTCCCTCTCGTACTGTTCGCGGGCCTCAGCACTATATATGTAACTGCTGTGCTCTTCCTCTCGGACACAACCGGCAAAAGAATCCCTGAAACTCCTTACGATGTGGAGGTGATGGCTGGGAACCAGAAATATCAGCCAGTCGAAAATGGAGTGGACAAAATGAAACTGGAGTCAGCTTGAGAAGTTGTTGGAGTTATGAGTATTGCCAGGTTTATACGAACAATCTTGATGATAATTGAATAATCAGCCCTTAGAGAACACAAAGACAAAGGATGTTATGCGTTGTACATGAAAAGTGTGAAATTTGAATAAATATTGAGGGAAGAATTGTATTTTTGTAAAACTTTGAATTACATTATAACTAATTGTTTTCAATTTTTTCTCCACGCTGGTCAACGAAGTAAGCACGAATTAAACAAACAAAAAGCAAACAACAGCGCAGAAGTTGATCATGAAAAAATCCAAGTGTGCAAATCTGATAAAAAGGTGAGCCATTCTATTGAATATCCCAAATTTAATGTATTCAGCCTCACGCTCACCATGCGTGATCGCCCCTAAATGCCACCAATGCCAGCCATAATTGCTCGTTTAGATCACATTAATGTCAATTTAATAAATCAATAAAAATTGTCGGTGGTGTAGTGGTGGTGTGCTTTAGATTTCAATCGTAAGGTTGCGAAGGTTTGAACCCTAGCTCCGCCATGAACCAAAATCCATGAGGTGAGGTACTGGCCTCCATTGTGTCTTTGCCGAATGATCGGGAAAATTAGTTGGAATGGTACTCATCAATCGTCCTCAGCTTCCTGTAATCTACTCGATACTAAGTTGCCATGTGGGTATCCAACATTCCAAAGTATGATGTCTAAAATCCTGATAATCCTGATAACCAGTGGGTGACTGGGAGGTTTGTTACGGCTAAATTGGGTTCATCGAGTTCGTATACGCTGTAATTGATGTCTATTAATTAACGGAGGCTCTTGTAAAATCAATTGAGATAAACCAGCTACCTTATCGGACCTTATTTGAACGGACATTAAATAAACGGACATAATTATGAACGGACATAATTCTGCCGTTCCCTGAGAGAAGGCAGTAAGTCCATTTTTCGTAATTTTGAGATATTGGTACCACAATTTTCAGGAAAAGATTCTTTACAACTTAAGCTATGAATCACGCTATAAAATACTGTTGTAGCTGTCACGAAAGGCAGTAAGTCACACAAAAGTTGACAATTTAGCACGTTATCCCAAAACCTTCCCTGAGAAAAGGCAGTAATAATTCATTTGTATACAGCCTTCTCTGAGGGAACTTTTTCTGTACCCTGAGGAAAGCCAAAGGCAGTAAGTTCAGACTTTATTTGCAGTTTTTATAGTTTGTGGCCTATAACTGCCACAGTTTTAGTTATATCGAAATAATTTTTATGTGATCGTAATCAGCTCAGCAAGCAAAACATTTTGGTACTAATATTTCAAAATTTAAAGAAATATTATTTTCAAAATTTTTGAACCTGAACACAATTAGGGTCCCCCTTGTTTGAATTATTGAAAATTTTTTTGAAACATTTGGTGCTTTAAATATTGTATGTTCAAATTTGTTTTTCCAAATTAATGCGTCTGACCAAACTGAATACGATGCTGCAAAAATTATTCCGAAATATTCGATATTTAAGAAGTTATAGGCATTTTGAGCGAGAAATTATCCATTTTTCGTCAATATTACACACTTGCAATGCACAGGACGCCCACATAAATATGATTATATTGCAAGGATATGATAAAAAATATAGAAATGTTTCATTTTTTGTGTTGACTTTATTTGATATGAGGAAAAATGGACTTACTGCCTTTTTAGAGAGGAATCGGTTGAATTAATCGATCCTGATAAAAGGCAGTAAGTCCGCAATTCCCTCAGAAAAGGATGTAAGTCAAATGCTGTTGGGAAAATAGTTTAGTTATTCTGGAGAAAAATGGTTTTTATAGATCAGTGTTGGTGAATTTATGCTTTTAAGCATGTTATTATTATGTTTAGGACATACGAGAATAATTTTTTACACATATTAAATGACATCGAACGGCAGAATTATGAACGGACATTAATATTTCAATTTTATAAAAACTTGTTATACATTGATCCAATGATGTAGTTTAGTCCGATGATAGAAATTAAAATTGACTGAAATCAAAAAGTTATCATATCCTAGACATGAGTTCGCAATGCAATAATTTTGGAAAAAATGTTGACTGACTTTAACTTGGACGGACATTAAGATGAAAGCTAGGACCTCCAGCGTTCAATTAATGTCCGTTCAAATAAGGTCCGATGAGGTATGTTCTGGCATTTGAAGTTCAACTCACTCCACCACAATAAACAGTGATTAAAAGAGGCCAGATCACGTGAAGTTAAGAAAATTGTGTATTTGAAATCAGTTTTAAGTTTGGCAATATAATCACTGATGTCTGAAACAGACTAATTCAAGTCGTCAATAGTCACTCAATAATTATCTCAAACAAAGTGAAAACATAATTTCAGGCACCTGAATATCTTATTCGTTAATATCATGGTAGGTTAAATTATGATCGTTACAAATATTGATCGAAAATATGACGGGATGCTAAAAAACCGCCACAATTTAAAGGTCATGATTTTAACTGCAACTGCCCTTTCCTTGGAAATCTCCGATTACCACGAGAAAATTGCTGACTTTTTTTCGAATATTTTAGATTTTAGGCACTATTTTTTGTTACATTTCATTTAGTACTCTAATTCTAGTCGATCAAATAAATCAAAAGCTGATAAATAAAACGAACATTCAATGTAAAAGAGTTAGTTAAAATCAAAGTAAAATATTTAAAGCTCTGGAAGCACGCAGCATATAAAATCATCAATTGTTGTCGTGAAGCAAAATAATTTGCATTCGTAGAATGTTGCAGGAGGAAAATGTTATCTTTTATCAAAATTGAGTCGGCGGTTAATACATATTATGACCGTTTAAAATAACGACTGTTAAAAATACCGACAGTTAAAAGTATTGCAGGATTGCCTAAAAACTGCCAATTTTTAACCGCCATAAAATTAATGAGTAAGGTAAATCTCAAAATGAAAGGATTGAAAATGAAAGTTAACTGTATTATCATTTCATGTAATTACAAACCAATAATTTTTACTTAACAATTAACAAATATGTCCAAAGTTTGATAGACTTTCGTAAGCGGCTGCTCTTCTTTTACACAGGTGTGGCGTCTCTTTGTGTGTTGCTCCTGACAGCAGCTCTTCTATCTTGATCACCACCCTCTGAAAATAGAAATGGTAACATTTTAAAGTTTTAATGTTTAAGAATTGGTAACTATATCTTGACTCCTCTTCTCCAACGGCTACCAGTAATTCCTTGTTCCCATATAATTATGTTTTTTAACTACCGTACAGTTTTCCCACCTGTTGAGGATACCGTGTTCCCTGAGGTCTGCAAGAAGATAGGCAAATTTGAGAAAATCTTCAAGATGAGGAACCTCCGAAAGCTCTTTATCGTCAGGGTATAAATGTAGAAGTTGGACATGATGTTTATCAGGCACGCGGAGAGAACTACTCGGTGAACATGAGAAAGGGCTCCTTCTCTTTGACCATCTTGGACGAAACCTATACCGAAATGGTAGAAAAGCAATGGCAAGGTTGAGATGCAGTAGACGACAGCAGTGAGGGCCACAGTCAAGGCTCCTTGCCATGGAACACTTCCTTGGACACGTCTAGCAGATTTCCTGGCAGTAGCTAGATACTTCAGGGTTGGAATGGTGGCGGCGACGATGATGATGTTTGGAACCAAAATATAGAAGATGGAAAGTATGGGCTTCAATGTCCTCCAAGCAGCGGCTTCAAACGTGGCGTCACATAAGTAGATCGTGTAATCAAAGTACACATCACTTTTAACAACAGCAAGCATGAGAATAAGAGAAATGAGTGGAGGAAGCCAAATGAAGCAGCAAACCTGGTGAGCTCTTTTCTTTGTCAGTCGGAAGCGAAGGGGATACCTAAGATGAAGAAGCTTGCACGATGTGAGCATTGCCATAAGGTACATGCCTGTGGGATAAACTGAATACACCAGGTAAACCCTAGCATAGCAGATGACATCCCCGAATATCCAGGAGTTGGTCAGCAATGAAATAGCGCTCGGGAGAACACTTACGGTGGCATACACCAGATCAGAGACGGCAATGTGCTGCATTATTATAAGGATGAGCTTGTTGATCCTAAACGCTTTCTTCTGGAGAGAACCATAGACGATAAGGGAATCTCCTATAAAGGAGGAGAGGAACACAAAGAGTTGGTAGGCAGCCCAGAAGTATCTCACTGTGCTGTTGTGTATCCGTAGATCGTGTAGTCGTTTAAAGCAACCATGAAGGATCAGAGTGCTATCAGTGCTATGCGGATGTCAGTGTTACGAAGGTGCAGTCGATTCGAGAGAGCCGCAGAGTATTGTGAAGTACCGTAGAGTCTTAACCCTCGAGGATTTAAAGTTTAAGAAACTTTAGAATATGCTATGGTTTGCGATGGCTCTTGGATAACAGAGAGAGAGGCTCTTGGATAATGGAGCAGGTGAGGAAGAATGAACTTTGTCTTTACTAATTAAGTTTGAGAAAAGTTGTTCCTCATTTTACATTCTTTGGAACCCCGCGGATCAGGAATACTGATGAGAAGGTATATTCTTATACTGAGTAGGGAGTAAAGTGAAATTGTGTTTCAATTGTCTAATTATTGTACAGTTGGTATTCTATTAATAATAAGGTATATTATATAAATATAAGGTATGTCCAATTTCTAGGAATTTCAAAGAATCTATATTCTAGATTATTTTCCCTAAGACGGATTATATGACCAGGAATACTGCTTAGAAGCTATATTCTTATATTGAGTATAGGTTAAATTAAATTGTGTTACAAATTTTAATATTGCAGTTGATGTTCTCATAATAAAATTTATGGTCGGTGGGCATAATAAAATTTATTCAATCAACTTACTCGACTTAGGGCGGCTTCAGCGTCCGAACAGAAATAATCTTCTTACAAATCTGTCTATCCAGCATGAGTTTGTTAATCTCTTTGCTGACTGCTGTCGTCAAGCCCCGTGTCCTTCCGAAGGATGTCAATGTATGTGAGATGTGGTCTTCCCCTTCGACGATGTCCTTGAAGGGGTTCCCAGAAGAGAAGTTGATGACTCAATAGTTCTTCATGTCTGGCTAAATGACCTGCGAGTCTCATCCTCCGTGCAGCTATCTTATCAGATGCTCTGATGAGGTGTCCATACACCTTGGCGTTAGTCTGCCGCTCTTTCCAGTCAATGTTCAGTGCCATCCTCAGCATTCTCGTATAACATCCATCAATACGTTTTGCGAGGGTCTGGCTGACAGTCCATGTTTCAGAGCCATATAGAAGGATGGATTCGACTGTAGCCAGGAACAGTCGTATTTTGAGATCTCTACGCATATCCGACTTCCATACAAGCTTCATCTGGTGACACGCTCCCCATGCCTTAGCTTTCCTCACTTCGAAGTCCTTCTCCGAACTCTTCATTCTACTACCCAAATATATGAAGTCATCGACTTTCTCAATGTTCTTCCCACTCCCAGCAACCAGAGTCGGGTTATCATCATCTCTTATGTTGATTCCCATGTACTTAGTTTTCCCCTCGTTGAGGTGGAGTCCAACTGAGTTGGCCGCCAGTTCCAGACTCCTGAGGAAATCTTGTGCCTCCGCAACACTATCTGTTATAAGAGTAAGGTCGTCAGCAATTTATTCAATTGCATATAATATTGATTATCAGTTTAAAGCGATATTAGTGAACGCATGGAACATTGTAGGTTGCTCTATAAACATAATGTCCGTTTTGAAAATTTCCAGTC